TAAATGGTTGCATATCTATTATTCAATATATGATCCTATAAATAGCTGTCTTATTAATCTGATGAGATATCGATTGAAAAACCAAAAATGCCCATACGGAGCTCGACATATTCCCCGATTATCCAGCCAGAATGTCAATTCCAATTTTATTTCTTTCGAAATTACCTGCAGCAGCAATATAATAACCCCGACCATTAGAAGACAAACAAGTTCCCGAGCACCGCAATTGCCGGCGAGTGTCTGTCGCTGTCTGGGCTTGTTTGTGTTGACTGCTGTCGCCCCCGCACATCCGAGCAACCTTTCAACTTTATTTATTAAAAGTGCTTATTACTTTAACACTTGAGCGCGATTTAACACGATTTGCTCAAGTATTTTCGTACGACAACGAGGACACATTCCGGCTCTCCCGTTCGCCAAAGAGCAAGCGAGTGTCAAGGTATGTCTCTGTCTGGGCCAACTGTCTGTCTGTCTGGCTGACTGTGTCTCTGTGTCCCTGCTCGAGTGTCCTGTGCCGGGTCCTCGTCCACCCCCTTGGATCCTTGAGTATTTAGCTTGCCTACCGAACACCGAAAGCAGTTTCATCTTTTTCATGTGCAGCGAGCAGCTCTGCCAAGATAGCAGCTTCATCATTTTTACTCTTTTTCCACTGGTACACTGAGAAAAATGTATCGGACCTAATAAACAAATCAATACAGCTTTGAAATCACTTTGTAAATTGATTTTTTTCGACGTCTAAAAGTATGCAACAATATATTTTAAATCTGAAATGCAATAAAGTCATTCAGAAAGACGAATATCCTTTATTCGCTGCATACTTTTAGGCACCTAAAATTACAATTAAGTGTTTTCTAAGAAGAAATTTAAATTACGATCATTTATAAATATAGGAAAATTGAACATATTAATCCCTACACCCATGCACATTATATCTTAATTATTAAATTATAATTATTTATAAAAATAAACATTGTTAAGAAAAGAGTTATTAATCTTAAAAAAATAATTAGGTATTTCATGTATATATCTAAAGACAACATATATAATGTTTTGATTGTGAAAAAATGCATAAAAAATTTAGTTCATAACCTTTGAAAGACGTGAAACTTAATGCAGTTTAAGAATATATATATGGCCAATTGATGTAATATTTTTCTCGGTGCACCCAGTTGTCCTTGGCTGCTGGCTCGGTGTGTGTGAGGTGGGTCCTTGCTTGCTCTTCAACGCCTGACTGTTGGCTGTAGATCGACTTGACTGCCTTTAGCTTCAGCTCCAGCCCCTGCCACGCCCCTTTCCCGGGGTGCTATCATTGCCAGCATTTTGCTGGGGTTTGCCAGGGGTTTTTCTGGGGTTCTGGGGTTCTGGGGACTGCCCCTAATATTGCCCTTGACTGTTGTCAACATGTTCAGCGTATTTGTTGTTCGAGTTGTTCGTTGTCGTTGCCGTTGTTGTCGTTGTTGGTGTTGCTGTTGACTTTAAGTGTGTTGATTTCATACAATTAACTTTTTGTCTGTTTGTTTTGTGCGACTTCTGCTGGCGTTCGCTCTAATTTCCTGCTCAGCTTTCTGGGGGAAAGTCGGGAAAGTCACTGACATCGTTTGACAGCCACGTGAGCTTTAACAAGCTGGGGCAAAAACGGCATATCTGAATCCGACCGCAACGTGGCGTATACGCAACGTGAATTGTATTTTTTTCTTTATGGTTTTTTATTTTGTGGTGCTGCAGCCAAAGCAAGCTGGAAAATTTAATATTTATTTTTATGTTTTTGATTTAATTTTCCTCTTTTTCAACTTTACGATAACTGTGTGAGTGTGTTGTTCGCTCGGCCACAGTCATGAGGTTTTTGCCTTGTTGCTGCTTTGGGGATTTATGAAAAATTTAGTTTTCCTTGTTATTTTTACGGCTCTGAGGTGATTTTTATTTTTATTCTCATCGCGGTACGCGCGTTAAGTTCCCGTTTTATATTTTTATATTATTTCTCATTCCCGTTTTACGATTGTGTGTGACGCGAGTGACTGTGTGAAATGTCATTTGTTTTAATTTTCCAGATGTACGTGAAGCGGATTATTTTAATTTATTTTCCACCTATACACGTACGCACCTTTCATTCATCCTTCGGAAAATCTCCGCCCCAAGGTTATATTTAAATTAGCATTTTGACCAAGGCCCACAAATCTTTGCTAATTTATGGCACTTCCTTTATATATTTTGGGCCATAAAAAGCAGATATATAAACTGGCTGCTCGGTGATTAATGCGTCATAATTAGAATTGTTGGCTGGCTACATGCATAATTCCACGTGGCAACCCTATAAATCATGCCCCGGTGAGTGTGTGCCGTAATCTAGCCACCAAATTCGTTGTCTGTCTGTCAGAGACACTTAACTTTCGTGTTGGCAGGTTCATCGCCAAAGTGTCAGCACACACACAGATATCTACACAAGTCCATAACCCATAGACACCCACATCCCACCTGTACCCTCTCAGCCAAAATAAATGCGTTATGCGTGCGCTTAAGTGCTCATTAATTTGGAATGTCAAACTATGTTGACTAACGCAAACGTTCCACGTTTAATCGCTTTGAAGAGGACCTCGTTGCGGTCTTGATGAGTTCCTGGCATCCTCTATTCTGCATCCCTGTCAAATTGATTTAGAAGAGCCCCATAAAAGCGGCCCGGTCAACATTTAGGCCCACGGACACACAACCACACCCGAAAATGGAGGCCGACATCAGGTGGAGGATTTCACGTAGCAAGGCATTTTCAATTGAGATATTTGCAAATGTTTCTGCTGCTTTTGGGGCAGAGAAAGAAAACGGTTTACCAATTTTGAATATTTTTTAAAAGATATATTTTATAAGTAAAATAACTGTCTATAAACTGGCTTAAGTTTTATATATCCCAAGGACAATGGTAATATTATTAATTTTAATTAAGGCTGTAATCTAAATACCATATCTCCATTTATTAAGGACAAGACATATATGTAGCTTTATATTAATATATAATTTCAATCCATTTTGTTAAAAGAATTATTTTACTTTTAGAAAAGGAACCATTTTAGATTGTACATTTACCTATTTCTTGTATATCAAATTTTGTATCATAATTGTACGAAAGACTATAACCGGCACAAATACAATCAATCCTCTGATATTTTCTCCAAGTGCTCCAGATTTCGAATCCGTCCATTGTTGCCCCGTGATCTCCTGACTGGAGTCTGGAAAAAATCCGTTTGGCCTAAAAGAGATGCGGGCCGACTGGCCAAAATGCAACTGGAGGCTGCCGACGTGCCTTCCTTGCGGTCAGTTGTTGCACGTTGCAGGGTCAGAAGTCATTCAGCCTCTATTAGGCTGCTAATTGAAATACCAGTACGAGGATTGGAGCAGCCAGGCCAAGGGTTAACTGCTGCCGGAGTGCTCGAATTTCGATGGGCAAAGCAAAGCGAGAGATACGGAAAGTATAAACTAATTAAGAGTTGCAAGCTCAAGCACAGCAAAGGTAATTGCAAGTTAATTAATTAAATAGTGCAGTGATTTGAGATACTCCGATTGATTTGCACTTTTTTTAGGGATTTCTTTGATGGAGTTATTCAGTTGCATTTTTATCAGACTGTTAAAATGAAATGGTATACTAAGGAAATGAATTAAAGTTGTAGCTGAACAACTTTAACTTTCAGACATAATAAAAAAGATATAATAATAAAGTCAGTTCAGCTAGCTTGAGTTAAAGCACAAAAAATTGTAAGCCCGATTTGGATCACATCTTGCCATCCCATCTGCATAATTATCTCACGTTTATGAGGCAAACCTTTGGCTTCGCTGTTTTATTTTTACGCTTCTGTTTACGTGCTATGCAGTTGGGATTCCATCATTAGGAATTAAGCAAAAGTCAGTGGCGGAAGCCAAGTACTTGTCAAGTGATGATGATGCCGGAGTTCTTTGCAAGGCCAAAAGTTTTTAGAGTATGCGGGTTATTTCGCAACTCCCCGACCCCGGTGACTCCATTCAACTTGGGTACGCTTCGCTTTTTTTTTCTTCTCATTTTTTATATTCATTCTTCTTCCTGCCGGTGCTGTTGCTACTGCTACTACTACTGCTACTGCCGCTGCATCCTTAAATATTTTCCCTTTAATTAAAATTTCAACAAGCCAGACTCCCGGGCGAAAGAGACAGGGATTGTGGGGGCAGAAAGAGAGGGAGAGTATGGCAGACATGCCCGCATAAATTAACTTTTGCGTAGGTGACTGTGCGCACGGTTTGTATGGAGTTACCCGGGTCTTTGGAATACGGAATACGAAATAGGGAGCGTGGTAAGCTGGGCGTAAGTGCCTTATCTTAATGCCCCGCCATATCTGGGGCCTAATGCATATAATAGGCCAGGCCTGCTATTTAAAGTCTAACAACCCTTTTTATATGCAAATTGTTGCGCCACACGTACACGCCCCAACGCCTACATCCGCCCTTTTTCCCCCCATTTTCTTTTTTTTTTGTGACTTTACCAACCATCCATCCAGCTGGCAACTTGACATTTTTTTAGATACTCCACGGTGAGCCAGCCCCTGCAACCCCTTTTTAATTTCCCTCATTTAAACATTTTGTGAAAAGTCATATATACACTCGTACGGTTGGGTACGAGTGCTTCTTTTTGGTGGGCGGTATGCGTGAATTACGTTTCAACTTTTTACACGACTTCAGGTCGCCTGGTGTACGTGAGTGTGTGAAAAACGTTAAAATAATTTGCAATTTAAATAGTTTTAATTAACTTTCACTAATTTGCTGTCGCTCAACTTGCACAAGTTGGCAAACTAATTTTAAAGTGATTTATTATTTAAACAGCTTGATGATTGGCAGTGCCCCCCTCGAAAAAAGAGCCAAGCTGCCAAAGGCCTAATTAGCTAAAGGTGAAAGGGGTACCCCTCTTTTTCATCTGTGTCGTCGACTCTTTGACAATGTAAAATTGGTGCAAATAACCTTTTGCCCTCAATCTAAAAAGGAACTTGGTGTACAGGTAACACTTTATTAGCCACAATTAAACAAACATCAATGGCGTTGCACTCAAAAATAAAATGGATAGAACTTAGGTCAGTATAATGCACTCCTCGTAGGTCAAAAGAAATGTTGACAAACAGCCGCCTGATCCGTAGACAAAGGCGTGATTATAATTTCTGGCCACTTTAAGTCCTAGTATAAGCAGCAGCAGGATCATCAGCAACAATATGATGGAGGCCACCTCTTGACAGCGAAAACTTTTACAGAAACTGTAAAATATTTATTAGTTTTATTAACAGGGAGCTCAAAAGTAAAATAAAATATTATATAATGCTTAAATTCTTTTTACGGTATGTATTTGATTAAAATAAACTAGCATTGCCCTTCGCACCTTTTATGGCGTTTAAAAAACACGTCTAAATCGGGATCAAATAGCAAGTTATGGATTATAGGAGTTCAGTTTTAAGGCCCCAATCTGAATTTAGATTATTATTATTATTCCATTACGAATTCATAGAGGTATCCCACGTCTAAATCGGACTTCAGTAACTCAAGTTATGGAACGCAGAAGTACAGTTTTGGAGTCGAACATGAAAATGGGTTAAAATTTCAAACCTCGCCAAGGATTATAATTTAAATGCAGATTATTAGATAATACAATAACAAATTCATAAAGGTATCCCACGTCTAAATCGGACTACAATAACACAAGTTATGGAATCTTGAAGAGCAATTTTGGGGTCCCATTCTGAAAACGGTTGGAAATACGATAAAATCGAACATGAAAATGGGTTAAAATTTCAAACCTCGCCAAGGATAATAATTTAAATGCAGATTATTAGATAATACAATAACAAATTCATAAAGGTATCCCACGTCTAAATCGGACTACAATAACACAAGTTATGGAATCTTGAAGAGCAATTTTGGGGTCCCATTCTGAAAACGGTTGGAAATACGATAAAATCGAACATGAAAATGGGTTAAAATTTCAAACCTCGCCAAGGATAATAATTTAAATGCAGATTATTAGATAATACAATAACAAATTCATAAAGGTATCCCACGTCTAAATCGGACTACAACCACACAAGTTATGGAATCTTGAAGAGCAATTTTGGGGTCCCATTCTGAAAACGGTTGGAAATACGAAAAAATCGAACATGAAAATGGGTTAAAATTTCAAACCTCGCCAAGGATTATAACTTAAATGCAGATTATTAGATAATACAATTACAAATTCATAAAGGTATCCCACGTCTAAATCGGACTACAATAACACAAGTTATGGAATCTTGAAGTGCAATTTTGGGGTCCCATTCTGAAAACGGTAGGAAATACGATAAAATCGAACTTGAAAATGGGTTAGAATTTCAAACCTCGCCAAGAATAATAATTTAAATGCAAATTAATAGATAATACAATAACAAATTCATAAAGGTATCCCACGTCTAAATCGGACTACAACCACACAAGTTATGGAATCTTGAAGAGCAATTTTGGGGTCCCATTCTGAAAACGGTTGGAAATACGATAAAATCGAACATGAAAATGGGTTAAAATTTCAAACCTCGCCAAGGATAATAATTTAAATGCAGATTATTAGATAATACAATAACAAATTCATAAAGGTATCCCACGTCTAAATCGGACTACAATAACACAAGTTATGGAATCTTGAAGTGCAATTTTGGGGTCCCATTCTGAAAACGGTAGGAAATACGATAAAATCGAACTTGAAAATGGGTTAGAATTTCAAACCTCGCCAAGAATAATTATTTAAATGCAAATTAATAGATAATACAGTAACAAATTCATAAAGGTATCCCACGTCTAAATCGGACTACAATAACTTAAGTAATGGAATCTTGAAGTGCAATTTTGGGGTCCCATTCTGAAAACGGTTGGAAATACGATAGAATCGAACATGAAAATGGGTTAAAATTTCAAACCTCGCCAAGGATAATAATTTAAATGCAGATTATTAGATAATACAAATACAAATTCATAAAGGTATCCCACGTCTAAATCGGACTACAATAACTTAAGTTATGGAATCTTGAAATGCAATTTTGGTGTCCCATTCTAAAAACGGTTGGAAATACGATAAAATCGAACATGAAAATGGGTTAAAATTTCAAACCTCGCCAAGGATAATAATTTAAATGCAGATTGTTAGATAATACAATCACAAATTCATAAAGGTATCCCACGTCTAAATTGGACTACAACAACTCAAGTTATGGAATCTTTAAGTCCAATTTTGGGGTCCCATTCTGAAAACTACTGGAAATACGAAAAAATCGAACATGAAAATGGCTTAAAATTTTGACCATCGTTAAAAAGAATAATTAAAATGCAGATTATTAGATAATACAATCACAAATTCATAAAGGTATCCCACGTCTAAATTGGACTACAATAACTCAAGTTATGGAATCTTGATGTCCAATTTTGTTGTCGCATTGTGAAAGGCATTTGAGATACGATAAAATTACTTACCGATAACCCTCAACTATAGATTGCGAACTTGTTTTCCTGAGTAGATCAACGCGGTGACGACTTCTGGCCCGCTGTACAGCCTGACGGGCCCCATCGCCCACTTTTCGGCGGTACTCACCAAAGATCTTAGATACACTTTCCCGGGTCCGTTCCACCATCACCTGAACAGATGTGGGATCCTTGAAGCAACCATCGCTAGATAGGGGAGGCATTTCTTTTCACTGGGGATTGTAAATGTAGTCAGCTACACAAGATATTTTCATTTTACATATGCAAGTTTCAATATATATTACCCAATTGACATATTTTTGACAAGGACTTCAAGACGTTTGAAGGTTATAAACTAAAATGTTTTATTATACCAAGCTGTAAACGATATATTTAAGCCTAGAAAGTGAATAGATTATTATATTTAACCTATTTATGATTAACAAAATTAATTAAAAGGAAGCTTTTTATTGAACCTTCAAAAGATAAAGCACCAAGTAGGAAAATAAGTAAATTATGTTTATCTTTTTAGGTCGCAGCCTGCTTAGCTTAAGCCATTCAAAGTCTGAGCCAAATTAATAACATTATGCAAATTTTAAAAGATCCCATAAATCAAGGCATAGAATGTGCCATGAAATAAATGTGCGCCCAAAAGGCAAATAATGGCAGAGTCATTAGATAAATTTATATCGAATTCCGCACAAACAGTGGCAAATTGAAAAAAGACAACGATGGCAACAACAACGAGCTAAAAAAAGTAGATAAGGGGGAAATCGATAACAACGAGCAAATTGAAACCGAAAATTTACAGTAATCAGCATAATATAGAAAACCGCCATTAAAATCATTATGTACCAAGTTTAATGCCTATTTATGGCTGATTTCAATTTAAGTAGCAAACCAGCCTCCCCCTTCCCTTTTCCCTCTTGACAAACAAATCGGAATACACACTGAAATACCGAAAACCTGCTGGCGTTAATTTCCAATAAAAAGCCGCTCTGCAAAAAGTAATTAACAACAAATTACGAAACCGTAGCAAACAAAAACGGCCTGAACAACCGCCGCAACCAACACACTTAAAGCTAATTAAATTTTACGCTGATTCCCCCCACAAAAACCCCCCTCCCCCCATGATCCATAACTGATTGTTGGCAATAACGACGACCGCAGAGAATCGAGAGCCACAACATCTGGCACGAGTAGAGCCAAAATAATAACACTATATGTATAAAATAAAAATGATCAAAAAGTTTTGGCATTCATTTAAAAGAAGGCCCGCCGGTCGCCCAATGAAATCAAATAAATTAAGCGCTGACCAGCAGCCAAACACAATTTGAAGCCACCTAATTGATTTGCCAATAAAGTTAAAACAAAAAAAGATTGTAAGGAAGGACTCGCCGCATGAAAGGCGAGGCTCCATAGCCTGTAATTTGTAACCGGCCAACTGCAAGAGCCAAAGTAATTGACGCCCCACACACACACACGAACCCATACATATGTACATTAATTACCAGAAAGTAAAGGAAACCGAAAGGTGGAAGGACTCGGACTCTGGTCCAATGCCAACAGGGCTATGACGACACCGACGGCTGGCCAAAAACCATTTGGGCCCGGCCAAGCGAAACTAATGTCCAGCCGACGGTGGAAATGTCATTCCTGTGCAATTGTCGCCGCCGCTGTAATTTTCTTTGGCAATTCTTCTCTATTAAAGACAACGCATCTCCGGAAATGGGATGTATCTTTCAGGATAAATGCACCCAGACAAATAAAAGAGATACTTAAGTTACTTTGGGGAACTTACTTATAAGCATGGAAATAAAATCATTAAGCCTATTTAAAAAGATGAAAAATATATAATAAGATACTAAAAGATCTGAGCAGGAACCCCATTAATAGTACATTATTAAAATATCTCACGTACTTCTAAAAAAAAATAAAAATTCCAAAAACAACCAAACATTTTAGTTTTATAATATTTAAATCATATACCTGGCAAATATGTTGTCATATTATTTTATTTTTTGACTTTTTAATTTATAAAAATATAATAAAATATAGCAAGAAATTATTGTATTAGATCTTAGTTTTTGCAAAATAAAAGGAAGTATCTATCTGTAGCTTAAAAACATTAAAACTCTGTAATTTGGAAAGAGTTTGAACTAGTCCTATTATTCTAAACTGTTGTATAATATTGCCAACATTTAATAAATGCATTTGTACATCTTTTGTTTCTATACTCTTTAAAAAAAAGATAAGAGAGGTATCTTCTGAAGCTTTTCGGAAAAAATCATTTATTTGTAAAGGGGCCGCAAAAAAGGATGTGCCGCTATGAGGCAACCGCCAATGGTGCAATGCCGCGAAGTTGACCATCCAGCCATGTGAACGCGGTTTTGCCCCGCAGCGGGAATTGCAATCATATTAAAAGCAGAGCCCCAGTGCAAAACATTTGATGCCAGTGCAGAACAGCGCGAACATGTGGCATGTTGCGCGAAGGGGCGCAATGGCCGCGATCCTCCGACCTCCGACCTAAACTAATCATGGCTACCCATCAACTGAGCGGTGGCCAAAGCGAGAAAAAAATAGCCTCAGAAACCGTAACACTTTGGCCCGCCATTTGCATTTCCCCAGGAAAATGGTGGGGCATTGTGGGCAGACTGGCTCAAAGCGAATGCTGCCAAATGCTAATTTCCTGGCTGAAAACTTTTTGGTCATTTGCTTTATTAACGGCAAAAGATGTAGAAAAAGGCAAGCCGTGCTTTAACCCATTTAAGGTAAAGAAGGTTGATTAAATTTGTAATAATACAATTTAAAATATTATTAACATATTTAAAATCCCATTTAAGTGCTCAGAGATATATTTTTATAACATTAACAGATGTAAAAAAATAACAAGAAGAATCCTATATTTATATAAATATATAATATATTATTTTGTAATCCTAACGCTTCTTTTCTATTGATCATAATAATAAATTAGGTATTTTTTAAACAATTAGACTATCTTTTAACAATCACTTTTTAATGTTGATATAGAGGGTTAACTGCAGTGTCCAGGTTTGAATTAAATCTCTAAGATTTCCGGATGTGGCGCTAAGTGCACACCCGCATCCATTCGAGCTTTGCATAACTCATTAACGGCGAAAGTTTCTGGTGCTGACACTATCTGAGATGGAGATAAGGCCCCCGGCCTGGCTGGCCGCAAAAGACAGGCCCCCAAATTCCGAATCCGGAAAGGAAAGAGCTGCAGATTTCTCCACTGGCACCGGGGTCAAGTGTGGCATTTATCAGGCAAGGGATTGCACAATATGGCCGCATAAGGCATGGCCATCATCATCAGCATCTGCATCATCATTATCCCTATGATCACATGCTGCATGTACGCAACAAAAATTAATTGTGCCCACATGCAACAGGAAACGAGACCGAAACGGATCCAAGCCCTTGCCGCAAATGAGAAACTTGGACAATCGCATTCACACATTCTCGGCCAGAGACAATTGAAACTTTTTGTTCGAGGACGAGTACGAGTACGAGTAGGAGAATGAGAATGAGAATGAGAATGAGGACGACTACAATTCTGGCTGCATTCACATTTAAGGACATAAGCTTTTCTTCTTGGCCGACCAGCTTGACATGCGTTGGCAGGAGCTCCGTTCCCACTTTTCAACTTCTCCACTCTCATGTGCCAAAGCATGTGTTTGGGCACTGCAAAAATGTGAACAACCAGAGCATTGCAATTAGTTGTCTGGCAAGAACTATGATAGGGTGCATTTTAACGAACTTTGATATATCATATCATAAAAGACAGGGTTTTGAAACCAAAAATGCAGTGTTTGCAATATCAGTGTTATAGATATACATATGAAATTTATTTCTAAAAATGCCTATTTATTTAATTGCTTTATTGTGGGTATGTCATATAATTTTGTAAAATTCCAATAAAATTCCTAGACTGGCTTACCATTTTCTCCGAGTGCCTGTGCGTACACATAAGTTGGCCAAGCTGTTGGCCTGCTTGTGGTCGGTTTGCCTTCCAGCCATATAGCCATCCATTCATTCAGTTTGACATGGCAGCTGCCTGGTCAGCCACCCGACTCCCCTCTATATAGCACCATCCACCAATCCCTCCTCGATTCCTTTCCTTTCCCATTCAAAGAACTCTTGTTATGCTCGCCCTGCTTGCGGTTTTGTCCATGGCCAAATGCAACAGCGTCTAAGGGAACACCGCGGTGGGTGGTGTGTAGCTGACTGGCAAGACAAAGCTCGAGCCGCAGTCTACACGGGGAGAAAAAGTCAGCAAACTTGCTTGTAAATAAAATAATCTACCTTGTTGAGTTCTAAACTTGCTTTGCATTTAAAAAATATCTTAAAAAATTATATATTCCATCTCAGGAAATATGGATCTTGTATTTACATCATAGTTTACAAATACTAACATCAGTTATAATTTAAATGAAAATAAAAACTTTATTTTTCTTTGGAAATGAAATAGTTTAAGGTAAATTTTCTGTATTCTTTCTTTAAAGAAATGTAGCTAGTCCAACTTTTTGTTGGCATAATATTTTTTGGTATATAAGTACATTCTGAAATATCGAAAATACCTTATAGCAATTGATTTGCTGTTCTAGTATTATGTTTTTTCCACTGCACAGTCATTGACGAAGTCTTGTGGCCGTACTAGTTGCCGGAGTCGCAATCGGAGTCAGTTGAGTGCCTTTGTTGCGGTTCATTCAGTTGTATATATGGCTCGCCGAATGTCCTTACCGTGGCTCTTTACTTGGCTTGCAGCTCTTGGCCTGCTCCCGGGCTCTCTGTTCTGTCGCCTCATCGGGGCTGTCGCATTCTTCAATGTCTCCTTTTAGTAGCGTCATGGGCTTCATACTTTGTATTGAAAAGTTTTCGCGCTCGACTGACAGCAGCTGAATGCGAAGACTGTCTTTTCTTTCCGCACATACATATAGACCTATACATTGACCGTCTTGGGAAACTTTAACTTGTGGCGGATATCCCAATGAGCCAGTTGATTGCAATCGGATGTTGCTAATTAGATCAGTGTTTTGCGTTTATAATCTTAGGGAATACTTATAAGTAGACGCGCAATTTTAGATATCATTTTTTTAAAGAAGATATCTAGCCAAATTTTAGTTATTAAGAAATGTTTTGATAAAATCTAATTTTGGTTTGATTTAAAAAATTGATTACTATTCAGGGAGCGTTAAAAAATGAACCGGAAAGAAAAGATGTCACAAGAAATCCGACTTCTATTTAAGAAACACTTCAAGGAGG